ACCTTACTCACTGGATCTGGCACTGTATGACTTGTGGCTCTTCACCAAAGTCAAAATGACCTTGAAAGGTAAACATTTTGAACCCATTCAGGACATCGAGGCAGCCATGACAGCATAACTAAAGACACCCATGAAAGAGGACCTCCAGAACTGCTACAGAAAGTGGGAAGTATGATGGGATAAGTGTGTTCGAAGTGAGAGGAGTATTTTGAGGGGGATTAATGGCAATGTGTCTTTTACACTAATAATTTTTTTAATTTAAACATTCACTGTACTTTTTATCACACCTCGTATATGGATACAACTGTTAGCCACACCAACAATAGTGTCCAATAAACACAGAGACCCACAAAAAACTATGCGACACAGAATCAGACATGAACATATGTTGACATTAGCTCACAGTCAATGCTCTTTCCTCCCTATCAAACTAAATCTTAGAAATATTTACTAGGCATTTATGTGATTTAAAAAAAAAAAAGCAAGTTCTGTCTTCAATTAGTTCACACTAAAATAGAAGATAAGACAAGTACACAAATACCTAAAATGCATGATATACTATGTTAGTGCCCCCAAAAAGATACAAAAAGTTTGATGTACTCCAAGAAGATTCAAGGGAATTAGCATGTACATGTACAAACAGACATCAGAAGACTCAGGAACGCAAAAACTCATGAATGCCAAAGTCACTCCCCACAAAGTCTTTTATCGTCATCACCCTCCCAACATTTCTTTCTCTTGCCTTGGGACCCAGTAGTCCTGGTTCATCAGTTAACACAGTCACCAGCTCCTTCACTGCAACCCGCAAAAATTGGCGTCGTTGACTATGAAACTGGCCACTGAGAAAAGAAAGTAGAAACTAGAGAACACAGCCTCTCCCACCCTTCAAAAGCCTCCAAAGGCAGCACAGAGGAGAGCTCCTTTAGGAAGTGGTGTCAGGCAGAGGACGTTTCAATGCTACAGTTAGCCTTTGTAAGAAAACACAAGAATCTGGGAAGCAGCAGCCAGTTCTTGGGTTGAGACAATGAGCCTCTACAGAAACTTGGGGTGGTTTAGGTGACAGCAAAGGTCAGGAGAGATTCCTATTCCATGACCTCTTGGAGAACCCGTTCCCCACCTTTACCTGTTTGTGATTACATGTTCCTTGCTTTCCTTGATGTCTGCCACTCGCTTGCCATACCTGAGGATTGACACAAGCATAGCAGGGTTGGCCCCACCACCGGTCGGAGGCCTTGTCCCACCTCCCCAGTCCTCAGAGATTCCAAACTACAGCCTAGGGAAGTATGGGCAGNGGTGTTATATCTCCCCGCCTATATTCAATGCAGAGAGCAGAGACAACATACTGTGTTGTTTGATCCCTCAAAGGGTAGAGTTATGCACAACAGTGGTCACTTAATAAAGGCTGAATGATACTAAAGAAAACGAACTAATTTTCATTCTCCGAAGGCCCTATCCTCCAGTTCTCTCAATTAGTTTCAGTTTTCCCCACTAAACCTCAAGTTTTGCACATCTCTTCTAAATCACAATGTACCAAAAATAAAAGAAGTTCCCAAAGACAACAGTGAGGAAAAAGATGTATTGATGAATTATCCCAGAGAAGGGAAAGCTGTGTAAATTCCAAATGTCTTTCCTAAAGAAAGCCAGAACAAAAGGGTATCAACTTCAAATTCCTATCACTTGGTAGAAGCTGGAATGAGTGAGCTGTGGAGTTTGAGTATCCATCTTTAAGGAGATCGCAAAAAAATAAATAAATAAAAACAAGACTTTCCCATCCATCTGGGGAATCACAGTCCTCCAACAGAGGCCGTGCAAGAGATCAGGTGAGTTGATAAAGAGCTCCTTATCAGGACATACCAGAAAGTAGACAAGTCAGAAGTTTCCACCAGCATTTTCTCTACTGAGTCCAGCATTCGGGAGTGAAAGACAATGAGGTTCATCACCTTGGCTAAGTCAGGGTTCTCATACAGGTGCAGGGGAGCCTTGGCCACGCTGGTGTATGCCTATGGGAAAAGGGGTGGAGAAAAACAAGATAAATGACAAAAGAAAAGTCTTGGGGCTACAGTTTGGCTGGGGTTTTTCCTGTCCAAGTAGCAGTTTTCTATGTTGAATCACTCCATATAGCAAAGCTAAGGAGATTAAAAAGAGAAGGGATTGCGGCCGGGGGGGGGGGGGCAAGAACCTGAGAAGGGGGGACTATTAATAGCAAGAGACTTACCTGTAGGCGGAACCAGTCCAGCCTCAATCCAGAGAATTCAAACTTCTCTCCATTATCAACTGCATAGAAAAACAGAAGTTTAAAAGGCAATAATAAAGAAGCACCCCGTATCCAACTGTATAGAATGGTAGGTCCTCTTCAAAGTCATCTTGTCCCATTCCCTGTTCAAGAGAACAATATTTCTAGAAAATAAAGATGTTCCCCCTCACATATGCCCTGCCTCCTCCACTTCCTCCAGTTACCTTGTTTCAGATTCAGAGAGGAGAGAGTACTGACGAATGAGGACATGATGACGGACTCCTCCTCAGGACATACAGACAGGTTCTAAGAGAGAAGTCAGAGTTACATCAAGTGGGCAAGGTTCAGTCAGTGTCCGAAGGTAGAAAGAACTGCTAAGTTCCACAGGAAGAGCCAAGCAAGAGATGGAGGAAAACTCCTGGGTTCCCTACCATGCTGACACCTAATTTCACTTTATTTTTCTCTGCTATTCCTGTGTAGCTTCACCTTGGGGTTGGAGGGAAGACTGCTGAGATTATTAGTCTTTTTTTTTTTCTTTGACAAATGTAGAGGAGGATATATGACTTTTTGAGATTCAGCTAGGGTGTTCCACAGGAGAAAATGACCAGGGATCACCCTGAAATTTCCAAAGTATAATCAAGTAAACATACTTGAATGATGTCACTGAGCACAAGAGCATCAAATCTGGCCAGGTACTGAAGGTGGTATTGCTGTATCACTTTGATGTGTCTTTGGACGAGAGCCCTAATCTCCTCCAACAAGAAAAGCAGTTCTGCAATGCTCCTAAAAACTCAAGGACGAGAACAGAGAGATGTGTGAGATTAGAAATATGAGCTGAGACAAAAACAGTGATAACAGGGCAGAAACTGAAACCTCCCAAGGTCATTTGATGCCTCCCTATCCCTCTTCCCCGTCCATCTAAGGTCAAGATTCTTAATGTCAAGTACTAACGAGTCAGCATAGTCCTCAGGTGTCTTTGTCTTGGTGACGTTTTCTGCATGGCGAACCAGCCAGGTAACCTCATCACGAATGAAGGACAGGGCCATGAAAGTATAAAGGGCCTAAGGGGAGGACAGAGACTATCAGAATTTTCAACTTTAAAAATGGATTTCAAAGCACAGAGAAAACTATCATATTAATATGTACAAGGTGTAATCAAACAATACGGTGAATGTTTAAATTTAAAAAAATTATTACAGGGCTGGGTGAGTGGCATGTTGGTTAAGAGTTGGCTTGGGAGCACAAGCTCTGAGCAGCAGGATCGCTGGTT